GAATAATTATGGGGTGAGGGACATGGTCGTTTTATGGAAATTTTCATTTTTGGTGCAAAGGATGGGTTAAAGATGTTCAGTTGAAGAAAAGGGAGACTTAAATTAGTTAATCTCAATTTGCTAAGGGGAAACTGGAAAGATGGAAATTTTTAGATGTTGGGTTTATTGTATAGGTTATTGAGTGCTTATAAGGTGTTCGATGTAATGCCACTCTGTACTTTTGCTTCGTTTCTTGTGGTTAGTGGGGTACTGTCTCGGCAGTCCGATTATGGACAGTCATTTCGATGGGGATCATTCCTTATTGGCATTAATAAATGATTTTGCCTTCCATAATGAAAAGGGCCTTCTTTGACAATATTGTAGGGGTTGATGAGGTGAATAATTCCACACTGCCCCTTGAGGAAGCCCTTGTTGACAACGACAGGATTTACTACTACCAACAGCATCTTTCTTTCCTCCAAAGTGCCATTCAGTAAGTGCTTCTCTCTCTCCCTTGTACACGAAAAGAGAATGGTTACAAACCGTTTTCCTCATAGCATGAGTTATTTGATCATGTAGGGACGGTGTCAATGTCAAGGGGTATTTTGCATGGTCATTGTTGGACAACTTTGAATGGAGTAGTGGCTATACTGTACGCTTTGGTATAAACTTTGTAGATTACAAAGATGAATTGAAAAGATACCCTAAACTCTCAGCCCAGTGGTTCAAGAATTTTTTGAAGAAATAAGGTGAAATCTGTATGTAAACTAGAGGGGAAAGTGCTACCCTCTGTATATATTGTCTTGGATCGATAAAAATAAAACCAAGATGATATGTTTCTACACATGCTTTTTTTTTTTTCTCCATTTATATCGTAATAATGTATACTCGTGAAACAATGGCAATATGTTGTCAGTGAACTAGCATATGCTTGTATGGAAAAATTAATAAATATCCTAGTTTTACTACCTTCGAGACTGCACCCTTTCCAACTGCAGAAATTTTCTTTTGAAAATTCAACGGTTTTCTCTTCTTCAATTTTGTACGGAAACATTAATCAATATTCAATTTTTTTTAATAGTATTCTTGACCATCTCATATCATGTGGTAGTTGGTCTGAGATGAGTTTCAGAGACATGTATTATGAGCTTATTTCAATAATAGGTATTAATGATTTTTTTCTTTTGAAAGTACAATGCTAATAGGTATTAATGATGATAACTAACATAAATGCAAAGTTTAAGGCCTAATTATATGTATATACTTTCAACGTTAAGTTGGGCAAACACACTTTGAAATTTATGATAAAAATAATGAAATTTATGATAAAAATAATAAGAAAAAATAAGACATAAGAAAATTTAATAACTTTACGCTTTCTTTTACTGCACATTCATTCAACAGCATAAATAATAAGATATTAATATTCTCTAAATTTCTAGGCCGATTGGTCAGTCAGCCTATAAGGAAAGCGCGACACTGAGACCACGGCATTCACGTGCCAATGTTGATGAATTTAAGCTTGGTTACATTAGAATTAATGAAATTTAATTGGTGGAAAATAATTAGTATATATTTAATTTAATTTATTTTTTAATATTTATTTTGATTTAATAATTAATATATAATATAAAAATAATTGATTCAATCAATTCTTATATGATGTATTTATGATTATATTTTTAAATTTATTTATTTTTAATTTTAAATAAAATAATACTAATCTTTTAATGTGTGTATTATGTAATTAGAGACTTAGAGTATATATCAATCAATGTTTTTAACCAAATGCTCTTTTTTTTGAACCAGTGAAAATTTTAAAGGAAGGGAAAAATATTACAATTGTCCCAATAAAAATTTTAATTTTAACATGAGTTAAATATTTGATACATATTACTAACATACAAGGTGCTGCTAATGATTTAATTGAATGCTTTTACTATAGTTTAAGGACTAGAATGTAATATAGAGGGGTTAATGGAATTACAGCCACACAATCTCAATGCAATTCTTGTGGGATCGATCAAATCGAATGTACAAATCATCACGTCCTTTTCTCCTGTCATCAATGATCATGATAGGAAGGTGCGGATACAGCTTGCTTTTGAGTGGTGGGGCATCAAAACAGCAGCAATTTTAGAAGGATTGA